TGGCGCCCGGGGATCTGCACTGGGGTCGAGAGGAGCGGAGACGGGCTAATGCGGCCCTGCGATTTCAACCGACTGCCCCCCATTTGTGCCCCGGAGCGCACGGGTTGCGACGGCCATCTCGTTTTCCCAGGTACGAGCGATTGTCTCGGAGAAAGGGGGGGGCCGGAGCCCACACCAACCCGAGCGCCCCTTGTCTGCCCCGCATTGCTTTCCCGTCCCGTTTCCCCTGCCGCACTTAGCTGCGTGCGGAGGGGTGGGTTCGGATGCGAGGTTCCACCTGGATGTGTGTGGCGTTCAAGCAGACGTGCCCTCGGCCGAGGCCTCGGGCGCAACATGCGTTCAAAGTTTCGATGATTCACGGAGTTTTGCAATTCGCATTACGTATCGCATTTCGCTGCGTTCTTCATCGAGCCAGGTTCCAAGATATCCATCGTCAGGAGTGGGGTCCCAGTTTTTATTAGGTGCCGGGGCCCGTGGGCGCCCCGCTCAAGGGAGGGTTTTTTGCGACCGGACGGCCAGTTCCGGTTGCGGAGAGGTTTGTATTCCGCCTCTGCCCGCAGCTCCTTGATGCACTGCGAGCGGGACGGTTGGGGGTAGCAAAAGGGTCCCTTTGCCATCACCGCGGGCGCCCCTTCCCGAGCCTTCCTAGAGGAATTCAGAAGGCCGGGCGAGCAAGACCCCGCAGTCACACCGCCGATGCCAAGAGAGACCGAGCACCGGTGGCGGGGGACGCTGGATTGGGAGGAGGAGCGTCGGAAGGAAAGGTGTTCAGAGGATACTCGAGGTCAGGCCCCGGGCTTCCCTCGCTTGCGCTTGGTAGGCCCGAGCTGTTTCCATCAGGGCTGGGGAGTTTTTTTTTTGTCCGCATGGACGCCCGGTGCCGCCGGGTTGCTGCATTCCCTGGTGTCGAGGCTCGTCACGAACTGGAAGGAAAGAGCTTCGGGTGCCACCCCTCCGCCCAGGCCGACCGTGTCCGCGTCTTGCCTCGCTCCCGATCGCGGCTAGCCTTTCGGGTGGCGGCCCTAATAAGCTCGCTGCGTGAGAGGGGACGGCAACCTGACCTCCTGCGAGAGGAGGTTCGCCCGGTCCCCCCGAGTTGCGAGCAACCCGGAGGACCCGAGGGCGGTCGTTTCGTCACTCGTTCTTAGGGGCGTTTGCCGAGGTCTGGGATCAACCAGGGCGGTGCCCCATGCCTGTCGGGGTGCGCTTTCCGTTCAGCACCACAACGGATCCATCGGTGCTCGGACTTTTTTCGAGCCACCGCACCACGCCAGCTCGCCGATCGCTCGCCAAAACGACCGACGCGCTCGCGGGGCACGGCCTGAGGTGGGGTTCCTGCATTGTTCCGACGGATCCTCCGACAAGGCCACGGGCACGGAGATCCGGCAGCCGGCTGAACGCCGGTCGTCATCCTTCCGTGCCCTCGAGCGTGCTCTGGACGCTCGCCTCCTCCTAGGAGGAACGCGAGAGCCCGCCATCTCTCTCGTCGCCGCTCGCAGCCCGGGCACGGGTGGAACCCGATTCCTTTTTGCGAGCGGGACGCGAGCACGCGCTTTCCCCACCCAGGAGGCCGATGCAACGCGAGCGCCGCACCTGCCGACCCGGGGTTTGGGCTGCGATTGACCCCGCAACCCAAGGGC